GGGCAGCGATGGATGCGTGTGCCATATTCCCCAGGTAAAAGCCCCTTTCAAGCAATTCCATTTTAAAGGACTGTGAAGGCTGAATTATGCGCATCGCTTTCTAAATTAAAATTCAAAGTTTGTTTTAAGGACAAACAACCCATTTATCAGCTTACTTAGAAAGGTTACTGATAGCAGTTGGGCATTTCCAGAAGGGGGTTTTCATGTTAAGGAAAATATTTAAGGTAGCTTCATGGAATTCTGAGGCTGCAAAAGACTTTTGGGATCATGGTGATTGGGAGCAGAGAGCAAATGATGGTTATCCATCTAGATCCTTGTTCATTTTAATAATGCTTCAGGATGTCATCGGAACCCGTTTCTCCACAGAGGTGTGCATTGTAATTCTGATTTCACAAGTCATAAGGCCAGAAAAGGCCTCCGCCATTTGAGAGGTGTAAAGGAAGCAAATCTCCTGGGCAAACTCTTTCCATAACGCAGACTCGGCTCTAACCCCATAAGGGTTTTCTGCCTAGCTCTGGATTGCATTTCAGGGCCTCACGATTACTTGACCTGCATTTTGCAGGAATGAATAGTTTGTACCTGGCTCCCAGCATCATGGCATGGTTTCGCTGTATTTCTTCCTCTGACAGAGCAGATATGGCATTGGGGGATCTGCCCCACCGAACAAACGCCTCCTGTTCTCACTAGGTGGCCTTTAGGCAGGAGAGGAACTGCAGCACATCTCCGAAGGTTGCTAAACCATTACTGAGATTGCCAAGAGCAAATGAGATGCGAGAACACGGTATGATACAGCCAAGGAAAAAGCCTGAAAGAACTAATTGAGTCAAACCAAGCCCTCTTTTCAAGGATAGCAGGTTTTTTTTTTTTTCTTATCACTGTCAGTTCACCTTCTCTAGTAGTAGAGGAAGATGTGTTTTAGAGATGTAATAAATGGTCTGATTTCAGTGGATAATTTAAGAGCATCATAGTTGCTTCACCCATTGTATCCTGAATGGAGTTGACTCTGAGCCCATGGCAAGCCCCCACTGGGCTCTGTCATCGCAAACTCACCTAAAGAACCCCTTCTCCTTCACCAAATCCCAGTTTCTCTAGGTGGCAACACCACGTCTCCTGATCTTGCAGACTCAAAACTTGCAAGTTATCTTGGACTTCTTCCTCTTCTTCGGTTGCTGCATCCTATCTGTCATCAATTTCAGCAAGCACCACTGCCACAATATTTGAGGCAAACTTTCACCTAAATAGTAGGCTCATTTCTAGCTCCAAATCCTTGCTTGAGCTTTCTACTTGCCTAACATGCCTCCACAAGCCGTTCTGCCTACCTCAGTACTATTATGGCAGAGTGCGGGTGCCTGCCTTCTCTAGGAAAACTTCGTGTCTCCTAGGACTACTGCAGCGTTTATGTCTCAGCTCAAGCTCATATTTTTGCCTCTAATTATAAATTGCCTTTGCACATTTGCTCTGCTTATTTCACAAGCCTTGTCTCCCCTCAAATACAGTATTATAAGGTCTTCCATAATAGGAATGATATAGTAGTTCTGGGCACCTGAAGTGTCAATACTCGTCAGTGTTCCTGTGTGCGAGTGAGTGGATATGTACGCGGAGCAGAGAGGGGAAACAGATAGAGACCACGTATACGTGGGTAGAGACAGATTCTTTAGGTATATTATAGAACCATATATTCTGTCAAAGTCATTTTTTTTCCATTTAGCAGATACAATTGTTCTGCCTCTCCTTTTCCCCAGGGCTGTGGAAAGGAGAGATACAAACAAAAAGTAAATACTAATGTAAAAAATATATATATTAAAGTCTGGATTTTGAGTACAAAAGAAATAAGTATGGCCATTAAAAGAAAAAATAGAACCAAGTATTAAGAGTTTCACCACCATCTCACCTTCACAGATAGTCAACAACTAATATATCGACATTTAAGCTTGTTTTGAATGAAAAGCAAAATTTTACTGGTTGCACTGACATCAAAATGAAATGATTCCAGTGATATAGAGGGCAGATAAATTGGAGATGATAGTCCGAGTTACTATGAATTACTACAAAGAGGCCTATGAGTCACTACAAAACATTCTCAGAAGAAAGGCAGTGTGATGTGCTGCTGGGACCTGAAGGCCGACATGCTGGGCATCTGGAGGATGAGCCGGGGAACAAACTCCCGCTCGTGACCCTGCGCTTATGTGTGTTACCGCTCACGGCGAAGCTGCTGCATGAGCACAAGCCAACAATATCCTTACCAGAGAAAAGCAAAGGCTGAAGGCCTAAGATTAAGATGAAGGATCATAAAATCACAGGTTGTATAAATTGGAAACCATTTCCCTAAAATGTCATTCTTGGAACACTTGCCCCTAACTTTTTCCTGGGTCAGATAAGTTTGGGAATCTTATAGTCACAAGGTTCATGAGTGTGGTAAAAACTCTGGCAAGTCACACAGTAAAGAAACCTTATTTTAACATTTCCCAAATTCATTTGATTAGACAACATTCTTCTGCACATGAAACTTGTTCACAAAATTCAGAACATCTTGAACTAAGATGAATCTCTAAAATCCTCAAGATAAACTGAGGTACAACATGCAATATAATACCCAACGTAAACCTCCTCCACTCAACTCAAAGGAATACTACCATCTGCAAATTCAAGTGGATTCAAAAAGTGCTTATATGGCTTTATCATCCATTAAAGCACTAAAGCAGATTGTCCCCATGGGGGTCACCTTGATTTCATGGCCAGAGACCACACTGGCCTAGACACACTATTTCCTAGTAAGGAAATAATTTCATAATTTCATTTGGAGGAAAAATTTCATAAATTTCCTATTAAATTAAATGGATGATAAACAACATAGAAAGACTTCCTTATGAAAAGTATAATTTACTTCCATTTCCCGGTGCTTGAACAATTTGTAAACACTAACCGGTTGAACATAGTTATTTTCTTTGAAGTGAATTAATCAACTGATTTAATTACAATGGGTGAAGTTACTAAGAACACATGCCCTGATTTTGCCACTTGCTAGCTTTGGAAATTGGGACACGTTAACGTCTCTACACTTGTTTTCTGAGGTGTTAAATGAGCAATAAACAACGTATTGATTATCATGGTCAGCACTTACTTATTTTATGTTTTATGGATACTGTTATTACGGCCACTTACAGATAAGGGAAGTAAGTAAGGCACAGAGAAGTTAGGTAACTTGCATGAAGTCAGAACACAGCTAGGAATTGTACAGTTTGATTCCCATTTGGGTAGTTTACATGGAAAGGTAGCAAAAAAATAAGCATGCTGTAATAGTCTTTTTCTGTACTCCACTTAAACATTTAGAACTGTAAAATGCAGCCACGAGCATTATAAAAGTTAGAGAATGTTGGTCTGATATTTGAGATTGACTAACAGCAACAAGAAAGACAAGGTGTTTTTGTTGTTGAAGGTGCCTAAAGGCACTTTATAAAGTCAAAACATTCCATTGCTAAAGATAATAATGAGAAGAGCCATTGTTGTCCCATTAAGGCAGGGCGTACAAGCCACAAACAGTAACTAATATATGTGTCACAAATATAACTAATACATGGTGTAAAACCGAGACTTAAGAGAAAATTTCGATGGGTCCAATGTAATTGCACACTTTAAGTTTTGCCCAATGTTCATCATTACCAAGATGAAGCATGGAAAGAGGTGCCGTGTGATCCTTTTGTGTTAGGTAAAAATGGGGGTTGCTGGTATACCTGTCAGAGATAATTTCAGTGGATGCGGACCCTGTCTGTGGGGGGACTTGGGTTGGAACTGAGTTGGGAGAAAAGAGCAAAGCATCAACACCTCTTCAAGGAGCACGTTGGGAATGTTCCCTTTCCAGTACTGCCATGCCTGCCTGGCTTCAACACTGCGCAGGGAACAGAAAACCAGATCAAACAGACATAAACACTCTGATTTAGCACGGTTCTTACAACCCACGTGTAATCCCTAATCTTGGGAGTTGAAAGAGCTGTACTTTTACCCGTGGCACGTTTGACATTCCTGAAAAGAAAACCTGTTTTCCATGGAATTTCACCACGTCTGATATCATCGAGACAAGGGGAGCTGAGGAAATTGACATTGTGGATATCGACTGCGAGACATCCCAGACCTTTAATACAACTCGAGTCCCCCATTCCCGTTCCCTGCACCGAACGCGTAGGAGCCCTACGAGCCAATGTAGAACACAGCAGCAGCCAAGCTTAAGAGTGATACTTTTTCAGATACAGTATAGCACTGTTTCTGGAAGACGTTACTCACATGAATATAATGTTTCTCGGGCTAATTAATCCGCCTCAGGAGCAGCGAGGCTAAAACTTCCAGGTTCCCCCGCCCTGGGCCACTCAAGCCGCGATCGGGACGTGAGCCCGGGGCGAGCAGAGGGGCATCCCGGGCCGAGGTCACCCGAACCGAAGTTAGGAGGCGAGGGCCGGCGACCGGAAGCGGTCCAGGGAGAGTTGTACAAAATTCAGGGGCCGTAACTTGGAAACCAAGCGAAATAAAATAAGACCTGAACTGTCTTAGGACCGAATTTCACAGGAGCGTCCCTCTGGCTCAGGAGGCCGGCGCGCGCAGCGAGGCCGCCTCAAAGGGCTGTCCCCGGAGCGTGTAGGCCGCGTACGGCTCTCTTCAGCGGGCGGGCAAAATGGGCGCGGGCGCTCTAGAGGCGCCCGCCCCGCCGCTCGGGCGCCGCTCACAGAGCACGTCGGCCCGCGAACCGCGAGCGCCGCCTCCCTGCCCACCCCTCCACCGGGCCTGACGCCCCGACCGCGGCCGGCTACCGCCCTGCGCCCGACGGCCACGCCTGCCCCAACCGGCGCGGGCGTCTCCCAGGTGCCGCCGGGCCGGCCCCGCCCCGCCCCCGTGCGCCCGCCTCGAGCCCCGCCCCGAGCCCCGCCCCACCCCGACCACCCCGCCCCGCCCCGCCCCGCCCCGCCCCGCCCGCGCTCCCCAGGCCCCGCCCCCGCGGAACCGCGCTCGGGAGTACCCGGTTGGCCAGGCCCGGATTGGGCCCGAGGCGGACGTGAGCAGGGTCGGACCAAGATGGCGGTGCAGGTGGTACAAGCCGTGCAAGCGGTTCATCTCGAGTCGGATGCTTTCCTAGTTTGCCTCAACCACGCTCTGAGCACCGAGAAGGAGGAGGTGATGGGGCTGTGTATAGGGGAGGTGAGTAGGTCACTTAACCTGACCGGAACCCTGCTGAGCAGTCGCAGCGTGTCCCCGGGTTGGGTGTTGGCAGCGCCCAGGGCTGCGGAGGCTAGGGGAACCTCTGACCGGCACCCTTGGACCGAGACTTGGGATGATCAGGTAGTGCAGGCCCCGTGTCTTCTGTCGCTGAACTCGCGTTGAGCCTCCTGCAATGCCACAGCGATCTGCATAATCCTCTGGGTGGGCCTTGCATTTTCTCTAGATCAAGTGATTACCCCATTGACCAAAACCGCGAGTCAGGCCGCTCGCCTCCAGCCTTCTTCCTGGGACGCCTTCTAAGGATATCAGAAAACCGGACAGGGAAGAGGGTTCCAAAGACGCAAAGGTTTCCACCGGGTTAAGTGTTGCAGAGGGGCGAAAGACGATGAGGAGACATACCTTAGTTGTTTATAATCCGAAGTAAGAATTCTCCAGCCTTTCGTGCTGGTATACAGGAACACATGACCCAAGTTGCATATAATCTCCATCCGTGTACATCAGACTGGCGTAATGTGATCAATAATGTTTTCTGCTTTTTCCCACTCTAGTTGAATGATGACACAAGGTAAGAATATATTTCTTTACTCATATCTTTTGATCTATATCTTACTGTTAACTCAAAATGATGACAAGTTTGGCAGTATTGTGTACAACTTCTATTTTAAGTTACCATTACGAATCCGGAGCTCCCTCAGTGACACACTTTGAATTCCACCCCAACTCTGAAGGTTGGTTTCCACCTTACTTCCTACTTGGAGAATTTTCAGTTTGATATATGTATGACCTTCTGAAAAAATACGGGTAGGGATACCAAGATCATGAGTGAACCTATGAAAGCTCTTACACATAGAATTTTGTATGACTTGTATGACTGTTACATTCCATTTTGTGGCTTGATATGTTTTATGTTCTGTCTCCCCTGAAATGACAACGAAATACAGGTAATTTTCTTTGGAGCAGATAATAAGCATATTAAGAGACATTTCCCCCTATTGACTCCTTGCTTCATCTAAACTGTCAGTGGCTTTCTGCTTCCCTCTGGTGGACTCTATAATGATCTCAGATGGCCAGAAACTTGAGTGCTCCAGGAGGCAAAAGCTTTGGGTGACGTTTATTTAAATTTCAAAGCATAGCAGAGTGTGTATTTCACAACCCCACCTCCTTAATACCCAATATTCTAGGAATTTCGCTTTGCCACTGAACAGATTATGTACTTCGCCACTTTTCCTTTGTTTCTGCTAAGGTTTCACTGCAAAAACTGCAAATCTTGTTACTTTGCTTTAATATCTTTTTATATTCCAAAATTCAGTTCCCTTTTTTCCCCCTAATTTATCCCCAAAAGGAGTGACTCCAAATTTACGTATACTGGAACTGAAATACGCACAGTTGCTGAAAAGGTATGTATGCTAGAATTTTGCATGATAGAAATTTGCAGTAGGGGAGGGATTTCTGTCCTGAATCTTATGATCTCAGCCCGGGATTAATCTGATCTGCACAGGCCCACACTTATGGTTGGGTAGGATGTTCTCTCCAATAAAACCAGATGAAGAGTGTACTCACTGGGACTGGAACCTAATTTTTCTGTTTGCAGCAAATTCAGATGAGGAATCACTCTCAGCTCTCCTTGCCGTTCTCTGCCTGATCTCTGGCCCTTCTCCCTGCTTCCTTGAACTTTTGCTGGTTTGCTTCCTTGAGATCTGTGAATTCTTTCACATCACTGTTACCTCCTTATCTCAAGTCCCAAATCCTACTTTGGCAACCTTCTGCTGTAAGCAAACTATGCATAACTCATAATTCTTAGTTTATCTTTACTTTTTTCCTGTCTATAATCCTGCCTCGCCTTTTCTGGCATGCTCTAGCCTTCATGGTCTAGTAGAATGTTTTTCAACCTACACTTTTTGGTTCATTGTGTATCCAATGTGTTGCAGGCCACTGCTTTTGTAAAATACAGTAAAAATAAATTATGGCTTCTTTTCTGCTAGGCAGATGATGGGCGGGTTAAAAACTATCAGGCAAAACAACTACTTTTTATCCTTATATCCAAACTTCTCCATGTTAACCACTTTGCCTCCTTTCTTCCCATATCAAGGAAAGAAGTTTACTTCCTATCCAGAGCTACAGGTTCTTCAAAAAACTTGTTTATCAAATATCCTCTCTTCTGAGTCTTCAACCTTTTGACACTTTTTTCCCCTTAGGATACAGATGTGCTTAAATTACTCTCATTTTACAAAGGAAAGAAAAATAACTTTTCAATCCCTGTAGTTACTAGAATCCTTTGAATAGTCAGACCTCTTAAACGAATAGGCTACAATCATTATAATTTCTTTACCTTCTGTAGTCACGCATACCAAGTTCTGGTTTCCAGTTCTGTCTCTCCAGCCACCTCCCCATAGCTGTATCAGTGGATTATTTCTTGGTGCTAATCTTAAATCTTTCTCCTTGGAACTCTGAACTGTCGTGGGTTTTCTGTTTGTTTTGTTGTATCTCCCTATTCCTCTTCTCTCCCTCCCATCCATTATGGGCTCTTCATCCTCCGCATTAAATATTGGTATTCTCCAAGTCTTTGGCTTGGCCTCCTTGCCTTCCCGGAATGTCTTCTGGGCAACATTACCTTCCCTATGGCTTTAGCTACAACATTAAAGTTCAATCTCGCTTTAAATCTTTCCTCTGATACTTACTGTGGGACTTTAGGCATGTTATTTAACATCTGTGAGCTTTGATTTCTTTGTTTGTAAAACGGATAATGACAGTAACTAACCTCATAGAATTGTTGGGAGACTTGAATTTGGGTAATGGACGTAAAACACTCATTTCTGAACTAGACACGGTAATAGAACCAACCTCACTGTGTCACTGGGGAGTTATTTTTATTTAGATAGTTATTTTTAATTTCAAGTTTTAATTGAAATCCCAGTTAACATGTAGTGTAATATTGGTTTCAGGAGTCAAATTTAGTGATTCATCACTTACATACAGCACCCAGTGCTTATCACAAGTGCCCTCCTTAATGCTCAGTACCCTTTTAACCCATTGCCCAGCCCACCTCCCTCTATCAACCCCTAGTTTGTTCGCTATAGTTAAGAGTCTGTTTTATGGTTTGCCCCTCTTTGTTTTTTCCCCTATGTTCATGTTTTGTTTCTTAAATTCTACATATGAATGGAATCGTATGGTATTTGTCTTTCTCTGATAGACTTATTTCACTTAGCATAATCCACTCTAGCTCCGTCCGCATAGTTGCAGATGGCAAGATTTCATCCTTTTTATGGCTGACTAATACACACACACACACACACACACACACACACGCACACATACACACACACCCCACCCACCATATACCTCCTCTTCCTTAGCTATTCATTAGTCTATGGACATGTGGGCTCTTTCCATAATTTGGCCGTTGTTGATAATGCTGCTGTAAACATTGGGGTGCATGTATCACTGGGGTGGTTACCAAGTTAAAAAATGGAAAGCACTTTTTCAGGTGCCTGACACATGGCAGGTAGCCAATAAGTATTTTGTTAATATCCAGTAGATAATAGTTAATATCAATTATCCCAAACTCTAGAACTTCATACTCTACTGCCTATTTCAAGTTTAGCTAGACAGAGGCATCTTAAACTAACATGTTCAAAACTGAACCTTCCCTCTTCCTCCAACCCACTCCAACATTCCTCCACCACAGTAGTTCCCAAGCCTGGGGGTGCCTTGGAATTACCAGTAATTCTCACTCCGTTGGAGTGAGACCTCGGCGGCAGGAGTTTGAAAACTTCCCCAGGCGATTCTAACGTGCAGCTGTGTTTGGGCACCGCTCAAAGCCATTCACAGCCGTAGATAGCTTCCGTTTTATTTCCAGCACCTCATCCCGACTGTGGCCACCTTATTGGAGGTCCTTGTCACTTTTATTCTTGAACACTTGCTAGCCTCTCCCCAGTCTTCTTGCCTCCAGTCTCTTGTCTCTAGTCCTCTCTTCTGGTTGCTTAGGGTATAATCTTTTGAAAACATAAGTGTGACATAAGTGTGCTTAAAATCGGTGCATTTCCCATTACCTTTAGGATGAAGCTCCACTAGTTAAGCATTCAGGGCCTTCTTGATATCATTTCTGTTTATCTCCAACTTCTAACCATGGTAAATTACGGCATTTTCCAGGTTATGTTGTACTGTATCTGCTGGGTTTTATGCTTGGACTGCTTCCCTCTCCTCTGCTTGGTTAACTCCTTACCCCTTGAAGCTGCCGCCTGTCTCCTTTAAGGAATCTGCCCTGACCCGTAGGCTAGGTTAGAAAGAGTCCTCTGTGCTCCGACTGCTCCTTGAGCATGTCTGTCACAATGCATGTGTGCTGTCCTAGAGCTGATCACCTGTCTCTCTTCCTGGACATGACTGCTGTATCCTGTTCATCTTTCTGTACTTAGGCCCTCATGCAGTGCCTTACGTACAAGTATATAGTCAATAAATATGTGTTGTACAAATGAACATACATTCCCTAAAATAGGAAATTAGTGTTTACCTGCCCATGAGCCATGGAGAGGCATGCCAGGGGCCTCAAGTTCCTATAAAGGGCCTGATGGTGAATACATTCTTTGTTGCAGTTACTTAGCTACAATACATAAATGAACGAACGTGGCCGGATTTTGCCCAAGGGAGGCTGGGCAGGCCAGACTTTGCTAGCCCTTGTTCTACACCAAGACAGAGGAGCAAAAGCAACTGGGTTTTAGTACTTGAATTCCAAGACTGAAAAGGCGTGGGGCCAGTCTAGCTAAACTGGAATATTTTATGTGACTATGACTGTAACAAGGTTAGGGTTAGGGTCATTCCTAACCCTAACCTTAACCCGAACCCTAACCCTCAAGCCTGTCAGCTACCAGTGGCTTTCAGGGACATCTGTGAGTCCTTTGTGGCCTTTATTTATACTTGTCTTATTTTGTTTTTCATCTGTGTCTGGGCTGGTCTTGTTATCCTATCCTGAACTTCTTTTCCTCCTTCCTCTAGGCACTGAAATCTTATCTTACAACAGAGAGAGAAAAAAGTCACCCTGGGCATCAACTCCTACTAAAATACATTGCCAGTCTTAATGATGTAATTTTATTTTTCAGGAGTCCATGCCCTCATCTGGAATTCTGTATTGATTTGTACTGGTCAAATAGATACTAAACTTCATGAATTCAGTGATCTTATCTTTTTAGTAGATGTTGTCATGGCATATCTTTGCCATCCTTTTATTTTTGGTCTTTTTGTATACTGGTATTTAAAGTGTGTGTTTCTTATTAGCAGCATTTAGTTTTTAAAAAATCTAGTCTGATAACATTCCAATTACATTTAATGTAATTGCTGATATATATGGGTTATGGCTTTATCTTTTTGCTTTGTATTAGACCCGCTTGTTTGCTTTTTCTCTTTTTCTTGCCTTTTGAGTCAATCAGATATGCTTTATTATCTCACTTTGAGCCTCCCAGTTGCAACATTTTTTTTCACTTTCCTGCATATTTCAGTATGCATTCCTGATTTGTTCATTTTCCTGATAACTATTTCCTGATAACATTTCCCTGATAATGCTAGAACCTTAGAATATAGAATTCTTGGTTGGTGGATCTTGTCTTCATGCACTTAATACATCACTATATCCTCTCTAGGCTTTCATGGTTTCTGTTGAAAACTCGGCTTTTTGTCCTGTTGCTCCTTGGGAGGTCAAGGGTCTTTCTATCTTTGCTTTTGATTTTCTTTATTGTGTACTCTGTGCCTGCCAGACACTGTACCCTTGATGGGGATAAAAATATAACTAAAACATGCTCTTTGCCTGCCCTTCCAAAGCTTATGTTCTAGTAGAGGAGAAAATTATGTCAACATGCGATAAACTATAGTGAGACATGTGTGTATTATAAAAACAGTCGTATGGGAGGGGAGAGTGAGCAGGGAATTTGAAGCTGTGAAAGACTTCACTTGGTGGAAAAAGGCAAAAAGCTGACCACATGTGCCTAATGGCTGCTGACTTCATGAGTCTCCTCTGTGATTTCACATCTGCCAATGCCACACCTGTGTTTTCCCATGAAACTTGTAAACCATCTCATACTTCTGATTTTGACTCCTCTGTCTTCCTTTTTGGCTCTTCTTGGTCTGCCTCATCTGAAACATGGGACCCCCGTTAATTCAGGCCTGGACCCCTGCTCCCTCTCCCTGCTCTATTCCTTGACTCTTATTTACATCTTATTGTAGATCAGCTCATTTCCTTCCCTCCTGATCCTTTTTAAACTTAGGTCTGCCTCCTGTGTTCCACTGAGATTCAACCTTGAAATTTTAGAGGTTATCCTTATCAACTTCCTGTCCTCTATCACCCATGGGCCATTAGTTACCAAATCTTGTGGATTCTTCCTTCTTAATGAATCTCAAATCTGTTTCTTCTGTCTCTTCAATCCGCTTAGCCCAGTATTTTGTCATGACTTCACATCCAGGCTGTCTGAAACAGTACCCTTCCTTCCTGTGCATCCTGCCGATCATGGTGTCAAGGCCCCATACATTTTTATCCTGATCTTTCTTGGTCTTACTGTCTGCCATTCCATCTCAAGTTCTGTACTTAAAGAAGTTGGCCAACATGTCTCCCAGACATCTTACTTATATCAATTTGGCACCTACAGAAATTCTGTGTGTTTGTACACACGCACACACACTCAGAGCAGCCAGGAAATAGTACACTTGGTGGCCCGTGACAAGTTTTTTTCTAATCGAAGTGACTCCTTTCCTCTAAGCTTTTGTAGCATTGATTTACTACATGATATCATTATAATTTCGTGTATGATACTTGTTGCTTAAGCAGACTGATAGCGTTTTGAATACTTGGACGTCAGCCTCTGATTGTCAGCCGTGGATTGTCAGGCTCTGACTCGTGTTCTTTTCTGTGAGAGTATCCTGCACGTAGTGGTAAACCAAATGGTTATTAGTTATCATTCAGAACACTGTTCCTTCATCCAAATGTCTTCTATTTGACATATTCTGTTATTCATGAGAAAATCATCCGTTTTCTAAATGCAGTTTTTAACCTGATAATATAATGCAATACACGTGTTATTGGAGAAAGACAGAAGTAAACATTTCTATGGATTTTCCTCTAGGTTGACACCGTCAGAATTGTTCACATTCATTCTGTCATCATCTTGCGACGTTCTGACAAGAGGAAGGACCGAGTGGAAATTTCTCCAGAGCAGCTGTCTGCAGCCTCAACAGAGGCAGAGATATCCTTACTAGTCAATAAGAAGTTTTTACGTGCTCTGGGGCTTCTGGGCCAGGCTCCTCTGTTTGCCGCCTTAGCCTGCTTGTGGAAATTTCACAGGTTTTCTTCCTGGTGACTCTTTCCCAGTTTTCCTATTTACCCGTCAGGTCCAGTTGTTTGATTAATCAGATTTTCTTCCCATTTTTCCTTTTGAGTGGCTTTTATTAGAAAAATTAGAAATTTCTAACGTTCCTGCTCTTAAATGCGGGAAGATCCCAAGGTCAAACCTGTGACAATGAACTTTATGGGGGAGTTCCCTCCTCCTTCCTTTCATTCCCCCACTGCCCCTCTCTAGTTCCCTCTGTCCCCCTCCCAAGTTTTCCTAATATGATTTCATTTCTAGGCCTTTGATGATCTTGGTCTCCATACTTTGGAGAGATTTCCTTTTGAGGCTGCCTCTCCAAAAAATGCATTGCTAAAAACCGAATGCAATATTCCATGTTAAATATAACCAAAAAAAGTATCAAATGAGACTTTTGCTTCCAATGATTGGGACTCCATACCTCAGCTATAGAAAGTTAAATTTGCATCAGTGGCTTTTAGTAATTCAGTGTTTTTTATTATTAAGTTTATCTT